CTGTGCCAATATCTTGAAGTGCTTCTTCTGTGTTTTCCTCTAGTAGTTTCAAAGTCTCGGGTCTTGGATTAAGATCTTTGATCCATTTTGAATTGTTACTTGTGTGGGGTGAGAGATAGGGGCCTACTTTCAATCTTCTACATGTGGACATACAGTTCCCCAGCACCATTTATTGTTTGACTTTTCTCCAGCATATGTTTTTTTGGCACTTTTGTCAAGAATCACTTGGTTGTAGGTGTGTGAGTTTATTTCTGGGTCCCCTGTTCTATTCTGTTGGTCTCCGTGTCTGGTTTTAGGTTAATACCATGTTGTATTTGTTACTATGGCTCTCTAGTGGATTTTGAAATCAAGTACTATGATGCCTCTAGCATTGTACTTTTACTTACGACAACCTTGGCTATTTGGGGTCTTTTGTGCTTTCATCTGAATTTTACAATTTTTTTCCTAGTTCTGTGAAAAATGTCATTGGTATTTTGCTGAGGATTACACTGAATCTGTAGATTGCTTTTGGTAGTATGGCCCTTTTTTAAAAAATATTTTTTAGTTGTAGTTGGACACAATAACTTTATTTTATGTATTTATTTTTATGTGGTGCTGAGGATCAAACCCAGTGCCTCCCATGTGCTAGGCGAGCGCTCTACCACTGAGCCCCAGCCCTAGCCCCAGTATGGCTCTTTTAACAATATTGATTCTTCCAATTCATGAACATGGGAGGTTTTCCCATTTTCTTGTGTCTTCTAAAATTTCTTTTCCCAGTGCTTTATAATTTTCATTGTAGAGGTCTTTCACCTCCTTGATTAGGCTTATTCCTTGGTATTTTATTTTTTGAGACTATTGTGAACAAGATTGTTTTCCTGATGTCTTAGTGACTTCATTATCAGTTTATAGTTTATGCTGATTTTTATATGTTGATATTTGTATCCTGTTACTTGCCTGAATTTGTTGATTAGTTCTAAGAGTCTTTGGTATAATATTTGTTTTCTAGGCATAGAATAAGATTATCTGTAAAAAGGATTAATTTGACTTCCTCATTTTCTATTATTATTCCTTTTTATTTCTTTCTCTTATCTGATTGCACTGGTTAAAATTTTAAGTATTGCTGAGTGTGGTGGCACATTGCTATAATCCCAGTGACTGGGGTGGCTGAGGATTGCAAGTTCAAAGCCAACCTCAGCAACTAAGTGAGGCACGTAGCAACTCAGTGAGACCCTGTCTCTTAATAAAATATTAAAAAGGGCTGGGGATTTTGGCTCAGTGGTTAAGCACTTGTGGGTTCAATCCTCAGTACAAAAAAAAAATTCAAGTATTATATTGAATAAGAGGGTGAGAGTGGACACCCTTGACTTGTTTCAGATTTTAGAAGAAATGCTTTCAGTTTTTCTGCATCCAGTACAATGTTGGCTATGGATTTGTCATGTATAGCCTTTATTATGTTGAGGTATGATCCTTCTATACCTAGTTGTATTAGTCAGGGTTCTCTAGAGGAACAAGGTTCTCTAGAGGAACAGAATCAACAGGAAGTATGATTATAAAAAGGGGATTTATTAGATTGGCTTTCATGACCAGAAGCTGGATAATCCACAGTGGCTGTCTACAGGCTGGAGAGCTGGAGTAAACAATAGCTGTGCAGTCCAAGATGCTGAAGCCTCAAAACAAGAGAAATCAGTGGTGCTACCCTAGTCCAAGACAAAAGGCTTCTGGAAACTCCCTGGAGAATCACTGGCAGAGTCTGCTATGGAAGGAAGAAGAAGCAAGAGTCTGATATCCTCAGGCGATGGCAGCAGCAATCAAGAACCCATTCAAAAAGAATTGAGCTTGTGTTTGCTGCTGCTTCTTTGTTCTTCCAACTTTTATTCCATCCAAGTCACCATCTTATTGGACCTGTGTTGCCCACAGAGGGAGGGTCTGTCTCTGCTTCAGTTTGCTATCCCACATGCCAATCATTCCTAGACATACCCTCATTGACACACCCAGAAGCCTCCTAATCATCAGTATCTCTTCATCCAATCAAGTTGACAATTCAGATTAACCATTACACTAATTTATTCAGAGCTTTTATCCTGAAATACTTTTATCACCAACTCAAATCATAGTGTATGATTTTTTAAATTTGTTGATGAATTCTGTTTGCAAATATTTTATTGAGGTTTTTTGCATCTGTTCATAAAGGATATTGTTCCATAGGCTTGTCTCTTTTTTTTTCCATTAACATTTTTTTTTTTAGAGAGAGAGAGAGAGAATTTTAATATTTATTTTTTAGTTTTTGGCGGACATAACATCTTTGTATGTGATGCTGAGGATCGAACCTGGGCCGCACACATGCCAGGCGAGCGCGCTACCGCTTGAGCCACATCCCCAGCCCTCCATTAACAATTTTTACAATTTTATTTTTTCTACATTTTTATTGATGCATTATAGTTGTACACACTGATGGGATTTATTGTTACATAGTCATACATGTACACTGTTTCTCTTAACCCAGGTTTTCTTAAAAAAGAAAAAAGGCAGTTACTATGAAGACAGAAAAAAATATGTAAATGAAAGTGCAAATCAGATCACCCTCATTTTAAATGCTAATATGGTTACTCAGATGCAGCTCTTATTTAATTTGCAATGCTGAGGATTGAACCTAGGACCTCACACGTGCTAGGTAAGCACTCTACCATTGCCTTACCCCTAGTCCCTCAAAGGCAGTTTTCAGACTTACTGCCTCATTTGCAAAAGGAAGGAGTTGGAGGACAGGGTCTTTTTTAGGTCTTTTACTAGGATTGGGGGTTCTTTTTTTTTTTTTTTTTTCCAGTACCAGGATTGAACACAGGGCCACTTAACCACTGAGCCATATCTCCAGCCCTTTTTTAAAAAAATATTTTATTTAGAGACAGGGTCTTGCTGAGTTGCTTAGGGCCTTGCTGTTTCTGAGGCTGGCTTTGAACTCCCAGATCCTCCTGCCTCAGCTCCCAAGCTGCTAAAATTACATGTGCCACCACAACTGGCTAGGACTCTGGGATTCTTTTTTATTTTTAGTTGTAGATGGACACAATACCTTCATTTTATTATTTATGTGGTGCTGAGGATTGAACCCAGTGCTCCTCACATGCGAGGCAAGCGCTCTACCTCTGAGCCACAATCCCAGCACAGGATTCTGGGATTCTCAGAATACTTTTTTTGTTGCTATCCCTATCTATTTTATTGTGATAGGAAATTTTATACATTGAATTTGCTTCAAAGATGTATGTTAAGTTAGATAACTGGGGCTAGAAGGACTCTTCATTGTCCTCTTAGGTATTTCTTAAAGCTGTCTCCTGGAATGATAGGTCATTTTGCTGTTAATCCTTAGGTAAATTTAATAAATTTCCTTGATCTAAGATTTACCTTCTTTTATTGCTTTGAGATAACCCCAGGTATTGGGGACTTCAAAAGTGCTTCTTTGAGACCAGTGGTAACAGTTTTCAAGGTCATTGGGAGCTCTAGATTCTCAGGTTCATGGAGGAGTGGGTTTTCCAAGATAACATGTTAGAAACTCCACAGCTATGATATCTTGGCCAATGCCTTGGTATTAACCTGTAATCCCAGTGTTTATATTGCTTCATCCCTGACAGTGGAGTAATTGGAAAGCCAATAAGGTTATGCCAAGGTGGAATGTATTGCCAGACATGGTGCCTATGAGCTTCTTTCTGTTTTAATAGTATATGTAATTATTGTTTTTTAGTGTCCAGAGATCATTTCATTTGCTACTCATAGCAGTCCTGTGAAGGAGGCTAATTTCTATATTGTGTGAGTTTGTAAGCTCTGTATGTATTATGGAAAGATTTTTAAATACTCAAGACAGGACAAAGTCAATAAAGTCAGATCAGTTAGCATTGAAAAAACCATACTAGCTAACATTTGTTAAGAATATTCTATGTAACAGGAACAATTCCAAGCACTCTTTTTTAAAAAAAAAATATTTATTTTTTAATTGTAGTTGGACACAATATCTTTATTTTAATGTGCTGAGGATGGAACCCAGGGCCTCGCACGTGCTAGGCAAGCCCTAGGCAAGCTCTGTACCACTGAGCCACAACCCCAGCACTCTTAAATATATTAACTTACCCTTACAACTGTCTTTTAACATAAGTACTACAGGTGAAGTATTCTCAATCTGTAAATTCAAAAATCCAAAATGTTTTGAAATATGAAACTTTTCAATGCTATTATGATGCCACAACTGGAAAATCCCACACCTGACCTCATGTGATAGGTTTGTGGTCAAAATGCAGGTGAATTAAAAACATTGTATAGCCAGGAGTGGTGGCATGCCTATAATCCCAGTGGCTTGGGAGGCAAGAGAATTGTGAGTTCAAAGCCAGCCTCAGCAACTTAATGAGGCCCTAGGCAACTCAGCAAGACCCTGTCTCTAAATCAAATATAAAAAAGGGCTAGGGATATGGCTCAGTGGTTAAGTATCCCTGGGTTCAATCCCTAGTAACCCCCCCCAAAAAAAGTATAAAATTACCTTCAGACTACGTGTCTAATGTATATGTGAAACATAAATGAAATTTCCTGTTTAGACTTGGGTCCATCCCCAGGATTTCTCATTGTATGTGCAAATATTTCAGAACCTGAGAAAAATCTGAAATTCAAATGTTTCTTGTCCTAGGCATTTTAGATAACTTGTATTATAGTCATTATTTTTACATAAGGGAAAACTGAGACTGAGTGGTTAAAGAACTTTAGAGTCAAATGGTAGAACAGACTTTTAACCATTGTCTTGGAATAACTCAGTATAATAAGTGAGGTGAGAGTTTCCTGATGAAAAAATGATAATGGAATTATTATCCAGGAATTAATATCCTTGTTTTACAGGCAAGGAAAGGGAACTGAAGAAATGTTAGGAGAGTTGCCCAAGGTTTTGAGGCCAGAAAGTGACAAACTGAAATGGCTTCTTGATGTTATCTTTTGGTGCTGGGTTCGCTGCCTCACATGGCTCCTTCTTAAAATGAACAACATGTGTCTTTCAGAATCTGGCAGTTGGCGCAGGGGCTGTTGGATCTTTGCAGCTGACGTACATCTCGAAGGTAATGTTGACCTGGAGCTCTGGGAATTTCATATTCTCTAAGGAGGTTTGGTATTTAAATAAGAGGAAGTGTTATATATCCTTGGGGCTTTATCATTTGGGGACATTCCATAGGCATTAAAATGCCCCCTTTGCCCATAGATTGCCTATGGAAGATTTGCTCCTGATGGGTGGGTGTGATGGTGGTTCCTAAGTTCCTGGAAGGCAGGCCCACAGCCTCTTCCTCCTTGGACACATCAGTCCCAGCTTTCTATCACTGTGATAAAATCCCTAGACCATCACATTTTGAAAAGAAAAGGTTTATTTTGTTTCACAGTTTTAGAGTTTTCAGTCCATGGTCTGTTGGCCCTGTTGCTTTGGGGTGTGTGGTGAGGGGCACATCAAGATGAAAGTATATGGCAGAGCAAAGGAAAAGAAAGAGTTTGGGGTCCCAGGATCCCCTTCAAGGGCATGTCCTCAAATCACTTAAAGACTTCCTCATGGGCTTTACATCCTAAAAGCCTCATCACCTCCCACTAGCTTCAAGCTATGGATCTTCAAGGGATGTTCTAGATCCATATGGTAGTGGTCCATAATGCTCTCACCTCCTCCAAAAGGGGTGTGTGCAGGTGGTAGCTGAACTGGGGGGTATTAGTAGGATAAACTTTTTTTTTTTAATTAACTGGGACAAAAAGTAACATAAACCCCTAAGTCCAGTAATTTTAAAGGGTTCTCTCAATGGGTATGTTAAAGAGTAGTAAGCAAGAAAGATCTGGGGCCTCACTAAAATTTTACCAATCACCTGGACAGTATGCCTGTGGAGGGAAGGTCAATGTCAGAGAAGGCACTCCTAGGTGCCAGGAGCACACACAGCCATATAACTGGCAGGCAGCTAACAGGCCATCCCCAAGTCCCGTAGTCCAGTTTACATAAAGGGGCAAGAGCAGCCCGTCTTCTGGGCTGAGATCTGGCTATGGGGGCTGGTTAAGATGCCCAGTGTAACTGCTGAATTCAGCTGCTTTTAGCAGCCCCTCCCTAGGGCAGGCACCACTGCTGACCCGTGATGCAGCAATGATAAAAAGGCAGGGGGCGGGGGACTTAGAGCCTCCCCAGAAAGAGGAACTCTTTGTACACTGAGAAGAGCCAGGTGGCACTCGGCCAGCTCCGAGGCTCCGGAAGTTCTGCTCTCCATACACACCCCTCACTTCAGGCTTTCTGGGGGCTGCTGCTTCCTTGACCACACTCTCCCACCCTTAGGGTCTTGAGATGGAAAGGGAAGTCCCTGAGCTGAGTGGCCACCAACTCCTTCTGGTAACATGTTTGGATGCCTTGTGGTCAGCTTCCATCTCAGTTGCTCCGGAAGGGAATCTGGAGGTGCCCCAGGCTCAGGGAGGAGCAGCCATCTTTAGCTGAAGGGACAGGCTGATTTTATGCCTGCAGCCGCCAGGCAGAGTCTGGCAGATACAGCTCAGTGAAAACCCAGAAGATGCTCTGAGTGGATTAGAGGGAGGAGATAATGGCCCCAGGGGAAGGGGGAAGGGCCTTTAAAAGTATAGCTTTGCTAGCACAGCTGCGGGCAATTTGTGCTTGCCTTGTGGTTAGAAATGTGGCTGCCTCCCCATGCCAGACCTGGGCCTGCCTTCCCTCCCCTCTCTTGTCCTCCTCTTGCTGTGAGCTCATTAGGTCATTTCTCCAGAAGGAGAATTAAGAGGGGAGGGAGCAGAGAACCTTGTAAAAAATGAAAACTGAAACTCTCTTCTGTTTAAGAGGGTTTGGAAAAACTTTTTTTTTTTGTGAGAGTGAATTTAATCTCCTGCTGAATCATGATTTATAAATGCAGCTCAGATTCAGACGAGGGTTTTTTAGTATTCTCTTCTTTGGAGGCTGCCTCATTTAGAAAGGATGACCTGACTTTTAGCCCTTCCTGAGACAGGCAGGCCTGCTTGGGCCTTTTGCAAACCCACAGCTGCTACTGGGTCAGGTTACAGAGAACTGAGAGCCTTTAACTCCTGCCTGACCCAATGCCAAAAAGCAGGGGTTTTCTGAGAGAAACAGTTAGCCTTGGGTGTTGGTATCCAGTTTGGTGTTCCAGGTTGTCATTAACCCTGAGGTATTCCCTCCAAGAGTAAAACATACGCCCACAATGTCAGAGGCCTGGTTTGCCTTGTGTATATGGGGGTGTTTCTGTAGGGGTCTTCTGAAGGCTAGAGTTGGGAAGATAGGGACTGGCATGTAGTCCTTCAGGGGGCAATTCAGAGATGAAAGGGCCAGATATGATGTCATCCAGGGGACCCACAGCAGCAGAGCCAGTTTTTGGCCAAACTAGAAAACAATTGAAACTGGTCTTTGGTACCACCTACTTTACCTCTTTGCTCTATGGCCCTTCTCTTCCATTCTAACCATCTTTTCATAGCCAGCCCTACTGTCCCACACCTAGTCTGGTCCTATTTTGTCAGGGCTTGGTCTCTATTACCTATCAGGGAGAGCTTCCTTAAGACGCTGCTGATTCTTGACTTTTCTATTTTTTTATTTTTGTTCAGGTGTGGGTCATGGGTTCTTTTGAGAGTTTGATCCAAGTATAGAGTCGTTTCGCAGTTAAATGTATTTATGTATGTACAAACCCTGACTTTGCCTAAGACTGGTCCATAGACCCCAACTTAAAAGCCCTCTGGTTATCCATATAGGGAGTTGCCTATTCTCTTGCTCTTATTGCCATTTCAATAAGATCATTCCAGGCCCCAGGGCAGAGCCAAGCAGCACTCCAGGATCTGGTTTGGCTGTTGCTACTCCTGCCAAAGGGGCCCCAGCTCCACTTCCGGCCAAGGGCAGACAGGGTGGGGCTGGCTCTAGCAGTGCCCTGCTGCTGCTGTGGAGCTAACCGCCTCTGGTCTGTGTTTGATCTGATAAGAGCAAGTTCCTGAGTCTTTTTTTGAGCTGTGGAGCAGCCCTATCTGCTTCACTTAGTAGGTGACCCATGCCCACTCCCCACCACATGTCTCTGGTCTCTTTTCATTGTTGGGTGTTTATAGGACCTGCCAGTCAACCTCAGTAGTGCAGGGACTAAACTGTGGCCACCTCAGGTGGGAGGATGTTTGCACTTAGATGCCCTCACTTGAAGCCAGACTATCAGATGTCCTTGTCTACTTGCAGCTGCGCTGCTTCATGCAGGTCCTCTCCTCCTTCCCCATGTCCTAAGTCAGTACAGTAGCCTGGCATGATCACCAAAAGGCAGTGGCAGGCAGGAAGGGATCACACCTCCTGGTGGCAGAATGTCAAGAGGGGTCAAAGCCATATTTCCAAACTAAATGAAACTCCTTTCTTGGTCTTTCTGGGGCACACAGAAACAGGTAGATAGGGTTTCATTTTTTCCTCTTGCTGTTCTGTGATTTGAAGGGGACTAGTATTTATAGTCTAGCTTTACTTCTTGGGAAGTTGATCAGGATGTTGAGAATGTTCACCCTTGAACTAATAGATCCGATCCTATTAGTTCAGGGATGAGTTGCTTTGCTCTGTAAACCCTGTGTGGCACAGTATAAATGTATATGTGTGCACTCCCATGTACCCCCTGACTGCAGATTGGAGAAGGATAGAAAAACAAGCAAAAAGCCACACACACTCTTTGGGTCCTTCACTTCCCACATTAAGTACAGGGGTAGTGTTCTCACAGTGGAGGCTGCTACTGAGTTGTTTAAACAGACCATTTGTAATCCAGGCAGGGTGAAGTCAGTCGAGGGTGCTCTGTAGTCAATGATAAATATGAGCGTCTCAGAGAAAAGGCCATTTTCTGAATAAACCAGAGAGGGTCTCTGGGTGCCAGACTTCAGTGCCATTCTTAAGCTGGATGAGATAAGTGGACACTAAGGCCAAGACAGCTCTGTATGGTCAGGGTTATATAGAAATGAAGTGCAGACAAGCAGATCATAGGCAAGAGTATGTGTGGGAACATGGGTGCTGAGTGACAGTAAGAAAATGAGTCCTGCAAATCAGTATAAGACACACGAACAGGGTGACTCTGTCCACTGTGGTTCTGACCAAAACCCAGGAAAACAAGATAGAATGGGGCCAGGGCTGGGAGTTTATAGGGTGCCAGTATCCTGTGTGTTAACCTGTGAATTGTACAGACATGAGTGATTTGGGTAGTCTGTGTCTAAACTCAGGATATATGGACTTTTCCTTTGTTTATGTCTTCATGTTTTTCAGACTTTTCTTAGGCCCTGTGGCTTCCACCTCACATCATATTAAACATACAAAAATACACCCACTTCCTCATTAAATAGTATGGATACACATACATGCACATTCCCTGTCTCTTGCCTTGTAATGCCCTGTGCCACCTTGGGACTCTTATGAACAAGAAGACCTTCACCAGTTGTGGCCCCTCAGCTTGCACTTCTAAAACCATGAGCCAAAATAAACCTCTTTCCTTTATGATTAAAAAAAATGTGTGTATACATGCAAGATTTTAGCTACAAAATATTAGAAAGAGTGCACTTTGCTTTGGCATGATTTGTCTGTAACACACATAATTTATAATCAGCTTTAATTTCTGGACAATCGTCTTGCAAAAGTACAAGGATTTTTGTGAACTAAGATAATTTCAGCTCCAAATTATTTTCAGATGTAATGAAAAAATTCTGCATGCTTAATTGAAAACTTGAAGTTGACTTAAGGTGACTTCTTGTATTTAGTTAAGTACTTATCAGTGAGTTGGTATAGTGTTATACAGGCATTTTATTACCACCTTTGTTTTGTATGTTGGAAGCCAGGTATTTTTTTCAGGTTACCATGCAGTTTTGCTCATGGACTTTCAGCATTTTGCCCATAGTTTCAAGTGTGGCACTGTTGTGATAAGCAGTGGGTTTTTAAAGGAAATGAGATATCAGAAACTATAAATAGTTCCTCCCTGAATGAGCACGTTCTGTGTGACAGGATAGGTAAGTGCCTTACCTGCACTATCATATTGAATCCTCACATCAGCCCTATGAGAACATGATATGAAATGGAGGTCACACAGTTGAGACATCTGTGATTTGAGACACTGTCTCAAATCCAAAGCCCAGGCTTTACTTACTGCCTGTCCTTCTTTTGACCTTTTATATGGTTCTGTCACAGTTCCCATTTGAGTATTTGAGAAAATATTAATTTTAGTCAAGGAATTTGGGCAGGTCTGTAAGAAAAAACTTACGATCAAAAGCAAGAACCTAGAGACTGGTGGGTCAGTCATTATTAGACCTTAGCAGTTATAACTCATGAACCTTAATTTTGACTCAAGACTTCAGCTCCTTCCTGCCCTATCTGTTAAAGCAGGAATCGCCCCTGGAGCCCTCAGGTGAGAGCCAGAAAACTGGCCTGAGTTTGGAAGGGTACTGAGGGAATAGTATGCCTGGAAGGATAATGACAGAATGTGGACAGGTCTCCTGGGAAAGTGACTGCCTCTTTAGAGATTCCAGGTATAGTGGTGGAGGCCCGCTCCAGTGAGGTTCAACCAGTAACAAGGATTGTCTATGTGGTCATATGATGGAATATGAGTTGTGTGAACTTGAGTGATGTGGGTTTACATATGTAGATCCTCTGGAATGTACATGCAAGAGGTAGGATTGTGAAAGCTAAGTGAAATAAAGCAACAGGAGGTAGAAAGATACTTCCACTTTCTCATTCTCACCCCTTAAATACCTCAGTAAGATCTTGACTCCTCAGCCCCTCTCTGGGTTCATGGACAGTACTTATTTTCGTGGTCAGGGTAGATAGTAAGGCCATTGGTCAGTGTGTTCAAATGCAGTGAGAGTCAGGCTGCTTCCCCTTTCTGAGTGCTCTGATTAAAATCTATGCATCTACAGTAAGAACCCCTTCATTTTGGAGACTATTTAAGAAGGGGAGTTGGTGGTTGAAAGAGGAATGGAATCCTGCTGGTGTGTATGGGACCAGGCCTGTCTTATGGGCTAAAAACAATCTTGTCAGGTCCCAGTGACTTTTAAACATGTTTTTACAAAGACAAAAATTAACACAGATAAAAAAATAGCAGATAACAGACTAACACAGATAAAAAGATTAACACAGATAAAAAGATGTGGGGATTCTATCAGGGAGGAGCACACAGAGGGCTTCTAAGAAACAGGACTGATAATGCCTGTTTCTTAATGGAGGTAATAAGTGCAGGATTCTCAATGGTTATTTCTTAAAATGTATACATATGTACAGTGTATTCGTTTTAATCTGTGAACAATTTTCAACCCTGTTAGAAACAACATTCACATTTCTTCTATTTTTTATTTAATGTAGGTGAGCATAGCTACCCCAAAGCAGAAACCAAAAACTTCATTTTGCTTTGGTAAGTACTGAGCCAGGGATGGGTTTCTTAACACTTGTCTAGGAACTTCCTCTTTTGCACAGAGACAGTCCTGTGATCTCATGTGAACTATACCCTATGTATGTGAGTGACTTAAATCTCGGTGATGTTCCTGGGTGTCAAGTGATATCACCGTCTTTGGTCTTGCTGCAAAGATTGCTAATAACATAAGGACAGACATGCCAGGACCAGTAACATTTTTTGTTTACTTGGGTGCAAAATATCTAGCACAAGTTTATGGGAATCTTTGTTTTAGAGTAGAGTAATTGTGTGCTCAAGAAAGGTGGAGACTCTCCAGAAGGGGGATGAGAGGAGGGAGAATTCTGTTGATGGTCTCAGTGTTGCCAAATGAGGCTCAGTATCAGGGATGACATATGAAGCAGAGCCTTTCAGTGGATGACTCAAATCATTAAATTGTGAATTTGGTGGATCTGTCATTGAATTGTTATTTAGTCTCCGCTGAGTTTTTACAACTGTACTCAATGCTATGAGCAAATGCTGACAGATCATTTGTGTATCTAGGATAGATCTGAATGTAACCTTCAGGGGGCAGAGGTGTTTCTTACTGTGTCACTGCAGTGGCCTCAGCACTTAGAACGATTCCTGGTGCTTCGTGGGTGCTCAACAAAATTTTTTTTTTTTTAATGAATGAATGAATTCTGTTTACTTCATGAAGATTTTTTCCTATAATACAGGCTGATGTTGAGAGAGTGAAATTGTCCCTCAAGTCATTCTCTCTCCCAGCTTCCAGTTGGTTCAAGTTCCTTTGGTGCACTTACTCTCCCATATCTTTCAAATATTATTACTAAACTCAAAAATGACTCTTAGGTTTTGTGGTCAGCAGAACTAAATATATATATATATATATATATATATATATATATATATATATATATAAAATGAGCCCAGAAACAGGTTAGTTCTCTGGCAAGTTGTGTTCCACTTCCCAGCCACAGGCAGGACTCTCAGTCCAGGCCTGTGGAAGCAAAGCACTGGGTCCATAATTCTGTGTGTATCATGTGACTGTCAGTCTCTTAGCACTGGTGTAAAGTTGTTCAGGGGGGTGTCTTCTTGTTGGCAGACCAGCAGCCTCATCACAACAGAATAGCACATCAAGGCTGCTGCTCGTGTTGTCACATGCCATTCTTTGGCCAATGAAATAGTCCTTACTTTTAAAGATGGGAGAGACAGCAGTTGTCACCTGCTGCTTCCTGAATATCCATACAAGTGACTTAACATCACAGGGAATTTCTTGATCTGCTGTGTGGACTTCATCCATCTTGTCACCTCAAACACCTTAGGTTTGTGGAGACTTCTTGTGTGCCATGTAGTCTGACCTGGAAATTTCTCTCTCCTTACCTGTGACTTTTACAGTCATCAATGCCCTGTCTCAGAGGTATTTTCTTCAAGCCAATGACCAGAAAGACCTGAAGGACTGGGTTGAAGCCCTGAACCAAGCCAGCAAGATCACTGTACGTATGACTGCTTCTCCTTTTTGTAGTAAAAGTGCCCCTTCTCAGTTGTAGCCTGTTGGGGTGGGGGAAAACTCAGACGGCAGCAGGGACTTTCCCAGGAGCTCAATTTTCTCCTGCCTCAACATTCTCCTGCCCCTTGGCTCACAAACCACAATTTGACCCAAGAGTTTGAGTTTGAATCAAGTTCAAGGGGAAGTTTATGGAGGGTCCCCTTTGTGCTTTCTGGGAGGGCTCCTGGTCAGTCATGTTCTGGGTAATTCTGGAATGCTGATTCAGAATGTGGTAGGGTTGGAAAATGGATTGCTGACTCCGACAAGTAGAGTAAGGGGGAAAGTATACTGAGAAGGGAAGTCAGAACTTCTATTCTGACTTGGGGAATACTCTTCTTATTTATGAGGCCACCTGGAGGATCAGGCCGGGCTATTTACCAGTCTGTCCTGGAACAGTCTTCCATTTAAAAGTCTCACGAAACGAGTTCATGGACTATTATGAATACTCTCCTTTTCTTTGACGTGTCTAATGAAGAATTATTCTTTCCTTGACTTGGCTAATGAATTATTTCTTTTCCTTACAAACACAGAAAGAGAATAGGAGGAGTGAGAATTTGAGAGAAGGAATATTATTACAATCAGCTTTCCATTAGTATGTCAAAATAGCTTATAAGGAGGAAAGGTTAATTTTGGATCATGATTTCAGAGATTTTAGTTGATAGTAGGCTTGGCCTTGTTGCTTTGAGCCCCTGTTGGCACAGGGCATCATGGTGGGAGTATGTGGTGAAGCAGGCCTGTTTACGTCATGGCAGCTGAGAAGCAAAGAGAGAGACAGGAAGGGGCTGGAGTGTTATTATACATTTCAGAAATATGCCCCCAGTGACTTAACTTCCTCCCACCAGACCCCACCTCCAGTTCCCAGCAGCATGGTTGTCTAGCAGCCAGACCTTCAATACATAGATCTTTGGGGACACTTATCCAGCCATGGCAAAAACCTATGTTTGGGGGAAAAAAGAAACCTTTAAGACAGACAAGGCAGATTCTTGACTTCCCAAACAAGGCTTGTTTGCTGAAAAGTTTGAATTTCTCTATTATATAATCGGAAACATTTACATGAGTGACTTCCAATAATAATAACTATGTGCCAGGGCAAATGTTATCCCAGATATTCACGGTTCCAGTGAATAAATTAATAGATGAAATCTGTACATCTATGTAGCATTTTTGTTGATAGACCCAACCAGAGTAAAATTGAGTTATTTAAGTAGTTTAGCTGGTTAGTTCTTATTCTGGTAAACCTTGGAAAACCCATGAGAAGAGAGAGTAAGGCAAGGAGGGGGCACGGAGTCAGTTGCTAACTCACACGCTCATGTGGGCTAGCCGTGTGCTTATGTATGTGGGTCTGGAGTACTGATTATAGTAAATGTTTTCTTCATTCATGTTGGGGAGGAGGTCTTCCTCAAAATCTTCCAGAATTTGAGGTTTCTCTCAATGCTAATACTTGACTGTTGTTCTGAGTTTCTTCCTAGGTTCCCGCCTCCATTCTTGCTAGTAAACAGATCTGGACAGTCCACAGCAAAGAGCCTCTTTGATTTGCTTTTCTTTCCTTCCCCCTATTCCTCTTCCCACCAGTGTGAGTGCGCCCCCACCCTCATGCTGGGGTTTGAAATTAGGGTTTCACACATGCTAAGCACATGTTCTACTCTAACCTTCTTTAAAAAAAAAAAATGGCTAGGTTAAACCCTGGGCCTCATGTGTGAAAAATACATGTTTATACCTTCTCCTCCTTCAGCTATTTGTCTTTCTTTTGTGCCTTGAACATAGAGTTGCTGAAATCATCCAGTGTCTCCTGCCTCTTCTCTGGCCTCACAGAGCATAAGTGACAGGATGCAGGAGTGGGAGGGAGCCTGGTGGAGCCCAGAGGACAGAAGATCAAAGGCGTGCTGGAATGTCAGAGCCCCCTTCAGTCTTCACAGTCCCCAGGATCTCCTTGTTTTCCTTTGCTTAGTTATATAGTGGACCTTCTATATCTGTATATTCTTTAACCAACCATAGATCAGAAATATTTTTAAAATCTGCATCTGTATTGAACATATGCAGACTTTTTTCCCTATCATTATTCCCTAATCATTATAGTAAAACAACTATTTACATACCATTTATATTATATGAAGTTATTATTAATAAGTCATCTATGGTTGGTTTAATGTATATGGGAAGATATGCATAGGTTCTATGCATATACTGCACCGATTTATATAAGGGACATGAGCATCTGCAGATTTTGGTATCCTACGGGGATCCTGGCACAAATCTCCCTTGGATCCTAAGGAGCAATCATGTGTCTTGTCTCTTCGCTTCTCCTGCCAAAGGTTCTGTGGAATGGAAGAACCTCCTAAATCTTTTTGTATCCTGAGAGGATCTACTCCTTTTTCCTCTTTTTTGTAGCATCTGTCCTTCCATATGGAGTTGGAATGAGTTGGGCAGATGTGGAGCTCTGATACCACGTGATGAAATGCATATTTATTTTAAGACACCATATGTGCAAAGTGAGGCACCAGACACTTTGGGGGACACAGATAGGAAGGACTAAACAGATAATGTAGTGAGCGGGGCTCCCACTCATTCATCCTTCACGGCAGTCTTGTGAGATGGGTGGTTTTACTGCCATTTTAAAAATGAGGAACATGGAGGTTGGAGTCTTGCCTGAGGTCAGGAGGTTAGCAACTGGTAGAGTTGGAATTCTAACCCAGGTTCCCTGACTTCCAAGACCTGGAAGTTTATAGTTTATAAAATTATTACAAATAAGCATCAGTAGTAAAATACGTCAGATTACAAACCACTTTTGCATATGGCTTCATTTTAGCCTCATAAAAACCTTAAGTAAGAAGGGCAAGTGTTATTATCCCTATTTATAAGTGAGGAAATGGAAATACCTAGAGATTAAAGTACTTGCCCAAGGTCATGGAGCCAGGATGGATCCAGTTTTTCTACCCGCAGATTACTGTTCATTTTATGCTGTGGTCGTTGAGTCCCTATGATTGAAAACATGTTCAGCATATGGTATTTAAAGAATCGGATTCTCTCAGAATATTAGCCTTCCTGTATTCATTTTTAGGGCTGCTGTAACAAACTAGGTGGCTTAAAGCCAGGGAAATGTATTCTCTGACAGTTCTGGAGGCTAATGTCTGAAATCAAGGTGTTGGCAGGGCTGCAGTCCCCTCTGACTGCTCTAGGGGAGACTTTTTCTTGGCCTTCCTGCTTCTGGTGGCTTCCAGAGATCCTCCACACTCCTTGGCTTTTAGCTGCATCACTCCATGTCTACCTCTGCCTTCTTCCCTATGTGAGGACACAGGTGTCCTCTCTTCTTATAACACCTATATAGGTGTCTCCAGTTGGACTTAGGGCCCAACCTAAAACAGTATGACCTCATCTTAATTTAACAGATTACATCTTCAAAAACACTGTTTTCAAATAAGATCACATTCTGAGGTTATGGGTGCACAGTTTTATTCAGCTCACTACATTTCCCCCAAAATTTGCAAATTAAATGAAGCACAACTTTTTCCCTGAAAGCGGGTTATTCCTCATAGTATTATAGCCACACCAGACAGGAAGAAAAAGGAGTCCTTGTGAATTTTATTTCACATTGTAGGTAGGTAAGACGCACATGGATCTCTCATCCGAGGATACTCCGCAGACGGGTGGAAGAGGCACACTGTTAATTAGGCCTCTGGAATATGGATGCCCAAAAGAACAGCCTTGTTTTCAAGCTATATTGCTCAGTTGTGATTGAGATTCTTTTCCACAGGCTGACTTTCAAGTCTCAGGATGTAAAACTTCCTTAAAGCCTCTACATGGTTAGTCAGAAGCAGCCCAAGATACAGAGACATAGTAGTGACAACCCCATGGCCCATGTGTGCTGACAAGATTCTAAGAAACGCAGCAGCTGAGTGTCTTTGTCTTTTTCTGTCTTCAGCAACTAAATAGTTCCTTCTTTTCCAGGTTCCAGGAATTCATTTGAATGATTTGCGGAAATTACTGCTGTTCCATGGTGATGATATCACTAAATACCCCAGCAAAAATTAATATCCCTAAAAAAATTTGATCCCACAGTGACAAGACTAACAGAAAACTAAAAAGTACCCCTCGAGTTGGTAGTGATATTTAGCAAAGGGGAGTAAGCATCCACAGGGCAAGTTACTCAGCTTTAATGAGCTTCAATTTACCTCATGTATAAAATGGAGAAAATCATACCAACTTGATAAGACTGCCTAAGAATTAGAGATAATGCAGTGAATAGCTTAGTAGCCTGCCTGGCTACTAATGGGGCCATGGCGGGGCGGTGGTGGGGTGTCCCAAAGCTGTGGTGACTGTTCTGTTTCTCAGACAGTCAGAAGGAAAGGAGAAGGTGGAATTTATGGTATGATCTGTAGAAATGGTGGCAGAAGTCATCCTATGTGTGTACACAGAGTGGATTGGCCAGGAAGAGAGGTCTCATCTTCTTTCTTGGGACCTACCATAAATCACAGTGGTCTTGACACTTCACACTCAGTGGACACCAAATGGTGTGGTCTTTGGTCTCTGTCCTGGGCAGAGTTTTCCCGTAGCTCTGAGCTTGGAGCTCTTGAAAATGTCTGGCTGCTTAGGTCTCTCTGACTCACAGGCTGTAGAGGAGGTGGCAGAGGACTTGGGCTTCTCTCCTGAGATCCATAGCTCCTTGGCTGGGAGATAGACACAGGGTGTTGTGTTCCTGTGAATTGGCTGGGAGTCACTTCTCAATCATGGCTTCAGGCAAATGACTTGACTGTTGGGCCTCTCTTTCTCTCTTATAAAGGGAAAGATTTCGTCAAGAGTTTTCATTTTTCAGACTCTAGGATAAGTGAGTGAATTGGACAAGGATGAAAAAATAGGACAGTAGAAATGAGGATATTGAAGAGAATGGTCAGGACCGTGACAGAGTGAAGACTGCACTCCCCATCTCGTAAGAGGACTGCTGCTAAGCTGAAAAATCTGGATTTTTTTCAACATGAAAATGTTAAATGTACATTGAAAAATACACTGTATAGTCAAACAAAACTCTGTGGGCAGAGTCTGCTTGTGGCCCACCAGTTTGCAACTTCTGGCCAATGGTTTCTAGCTAATTATAAAAATTCTACAATTTGCTCCATTACACTATTATAACTGATGAGGAGAAAGAGCTCATTCTTCAAAAAGGACTTTTTTCACCATTTGTGAAATATTAATTAAAAATTTTCGTAATACATTTATATTCTTATTTGTGTTTCTAGAGCATTTAAATGTGTGTACCACTTGAGAACTATAACAACTATTCTAACATCATGTTGTTCCCCTTTCCATTTTATTGAGATGATTTTATAGTTTAGATCTTGAATGTCCTCCAGAGGCCTATGTGCCTTAGCCCATTGTGCTTTGGGGAGGTAGTGGAACCTTTAAAAGGTGGGACCTAGTAGAAGGAAGTTAGGTTATTGGGGGGTATGCCATTGAAGGCGATATTGAGATCCTGACCCCTTCTTGTCTCTCTTTACTTCCTGGCTTCCATGAGGTAAATAGGTCTCCTCCACCATAGGCATCCACCATGATGTACTGTGTTTCCACAGGCCCAAAGCAATGGGTCCAAGCAACCACAGACTGAAACTTCTAAATCAAAACAAACCTTTTTCCTTATGGAAAGTTAACTAACAGATGGTTTAGGCCTACAGAGGTTCAGTGATTTGCTGAAGGTCACTCACATTGTTGGTGACAGGTCAAAAGTTATACTCCAGGCCTTCTGGCTTCAAAGCTCATGCATCCCTGATTTTATACCTTATACAGATTGGCTACCCCTTATCTGAATCTCTTGGTACCAGAAGTGTTTTGGATCTTAGATATTTTTCAGATTTTGAAATATTACATGGAAAAATCTTGGGGATGGAACCCAAGTTTAAACACAAAATTTATTAATGTTTCATATATATATTATACACATTACCTAAAGGTATTTTTTACTATGTTTTTAGTGTACCTGTATTTTTTAAAAAATTTTTGTTCTTTTTAGTTATACATGACAGTAAAATGTGTTTTGACATATCATACATACATGGAATACAACTTCCCATTTTTGTGGTCGTACATGATATGAAGTTACACTGATTGTGTGTTCATATATGAACATACGAAAGTTATGGATTCATTCTACTGTTTTCCTATTTCCATCCCATCCCCCTATCCATCCTGTCCAATCCAGTAAACCTCCTCCTATTGTGATTCAGGATCTGCATATCAGAGAAAATATTGGGCCTTTGGTTTTTTGGGATTGGTTTATTTCATTTATCATGATAATCTCCATTTTTATCCATTTACCAGCAAACGCCATAATTTTGTTGTTATAATTTTGGCTGAATAATATTCCAGGGTGTATATATACCACATTTTCTTTTTCTTTTTTTTTTTAAATATTTATTTATTTTTTTTTTAGTTTTCGGCGGACACAACATCTTTGTATGTGGTGCTGAGGATCGAACCCGGGCCGCACGCATGCCAGGCGAGCGCGCTACCGCTTGAGCCACATCCCCAGCCCAACCACATTTTCTTTATCCATTCATCTGTTCAAGGACACCTAGGTTGGTTCCATAGCTTAGCTATTATGAATTGAGCTGCTATAAACATTGATGTGGCTGCATCACTATAGTATGATGATTTTAAGTCCTTAGGGTATATATCAAGAAGTGGGATAACTGGGTCAAATGGTGGTTCCATTCCAAGTTTGCTAAGAAATCTCCAAACTGCTTTCCAGAGAAGTTGCACCAATTTGCAGTCCCTCCATCAATGTATGAGTGTACCTTTTTCCTCACATCTTTGCCAACGTTTATTTTTACTTGCATTTTTCTTTTCCTTTTTTTTGTACTAGGGATTGAACTCACGGGTACTCAACCACTGAGCCCCAGCCCCAGCCATATTTTGTATTTTATTTACAGACAGGGTCTCACTGTCTTGCTTCACTTTTTCTGAGGCTGGCTTTGAACTCATGATCTTCCTGCCTCAGTCTTCCCAGCCACTGGGATTACAGGCATGCGCTATGGTGCCCACCCTATTTTTACTTGTATTTTTGATAATTATCATTCTGACTGGAGTGAGATGAAATCTTAGGTAGTTTTAATTTTCATTTCACTAACTGCTAGCAGTGTTAAACATTTTTACATTTATTTGTTGACCCTTTGTATTTCTTCTGTGATGTGCCTGTTCAGTTCCTTGGCCCATTTATTGATTTGGTTATTTGTGGGGTTTTTTTGGTGTTAAGTTTTTTGAGTTCTTTATGTATCCTGGAGATTAGTGCTCTATCTGAGGTGCGTGTGGAAAGATTTTCTCCCATTCTGTAGGTGCTCTCTTCACATTCTTGATGATTTCCTTTGTTCTGCAGAAGTTTAATGCCATCCTATTTATTGATTCTTGATTTTACTTTCAGGACTTTAGGAGTCTTGTTGAGGAAGTCGATTCCTAAGCTGACATGATGGAGAATTGGGCCTGCTTTTTCTTCTAGTGGGTGCAGAGTCTCTGATCTAATGCCTCAGTTCCTGATCCACTTTGAGTTGTGAATGTACCTGTATTTTTGGCTGCAAGTCATCACATGAAGTCAGGTGTGGGATATTCAGAGTAGGGATGCTCAACCTGGGCATGTGCATTTGTGGGTGTGCATTTGTGCATACACACGTGGCACTAGGGGTGGAACTCAGGGCTGAGCAGATGCTCAGCGAGTGCTCTGTTGCTGCTACACCACAGCCTTCCCACGTGCATTCTTAGCTGTTCTACCTGATGAGCTGGCTCCCTCCCATCTTTACATTCCTTTTTCCTTTTTTGCCCTCCAGGTTGCAGATCCAACAGCTGTTCTGTGGAGACCTCTCCCAACTGCTCCATTTCCTGTAGTTTCCCTGTAGCACTTTGCCTCAGCTCTCACTTACTTTCTTTATGGCAGGCACCATCATTTGTAGATACTCTGAATGTTTTTCTACCCAGTTTTGGGTCAGTCTCACTTATTAGTTTTTGGTTCCAGAAGGGCAGGGACTCATGTCTGTTTTGTTTGATGTTTAATCTCTTGTTTGCAGCTGTGGAAGGGCTGGCTTATAGAATAGGTGTTCCGTAAATTTGTCGAGCAAGAGTGTAATAGGTGTGGAAGGGTTGCTGGCTGAACTCATGTTGAGATATGGATCAATGGAAGGACTGTGGAGGAAATAGGAGTCTTAAATATAATTTGGTACATTAGCTTTTCTTCCCACCCTATCTTGCTCTTGGCTCCCCACTTTTCCTAAGCCTTCTGTTCCCCACTGACCTCACTGTCTTTCTTCCCAGGTACCCAAAGGTGGGAGCCTTCCCCTGGCTACTGAAGTTCTCAAAAGCCTAACAACTCCTGCAGCCCTAGACAAGAAGCCACAGGTGGCCTACAAGACCGAGATCATCGGAGGGGTGGTGGTACACACACCCATCAGCCAGGTGCTGGGGCTTGGCTTGGGCTGCTGAGGGTGGCAAGGATATGGAAGTATCCGTGATGTGCCAATCATGTGCATCGAGGAATGTGCCAAGAAAAAGATAGATGGGAGTAGGGGAGCTAGCGCAGAAAGGTGATCAGAAGAATACAGTGCAGGGTGGTTGTAAGTAATGGTGGTGCAGAAATCAAGGCCAGTGCATCTCAAAGTTGTGACTGTACAAGACTCAGGAGATAACTTGTAGGATAGCAAATAAGGCTGCTGTCCCTCCTCCCATTCTGGTATATATGCCTTTTTCTGGTTTGCATTTTCTATTCTTCTCTTTCATCTGGGTCTGTCCAACATCCCTGAGTCTTACTGTATGACAGTACCCAATAGAATGTCTTATCCAGTGCAAAGTCAATGTTTGTTTATTCTTTAACTAACATAAAAGAGATAAGAGATCCAAACCGAGGGAGGGAGAGGGGGCTGTGACTGCATAGAAGAGCCAGGGAGGTGCTAACCCTAACACTGTTTCCTTGTAGAATGGCGGGGATGGACAGGAAGGGAGTGAGCCAGGGTCCCATGCCATCCTTCGAAGGTCTCAGAGTTACATCCCCACGTCAGGCTGCCGTGCTTCTACTGGGCCTCCCCTCATTAAGAGTGGCTACTGTGTGAAGCAAGGGAATGTGGTGAGTGCCAGCACAGGTGCCCATCAGGGTTCTGGTGACTCCTTGGAGCTAGTGGGTGTGGATGTAACAGAGGGGAGAGGAGAATGAGAGGAGGAGCTACAGTCCTCTGTGCTAGCCGCTGTCCAAGCCTGTGTGCTTTGGGGACCAACTGTTGGCCCGATGTGTCACATATTGCTTCCGAAAGGAAGCCTTTGCTCCTGTTCAGTGTGGTAGCCTGGCTTCCACGGAGCTGTGACCCTGGGAGTTTTGCATTAGAACACCCTCTGCAATGCTGGGGACAGCTTCCCAATATCTGGCTCTTTTTCATTTCAGCGGAAGAGCTGGAAACGTCGCTTCTTTGCCCTGGATGACTTCACCATCTGCTACTTCAAGTGTGAGCAGGTTGGTAGTAGCTTTGGGGGGGCCTTTCTGAGAGGTCATAGAAATGAAGAGGTACATGAATACACACCTGTAGGAAAGTGTGAAGGAGTGGAGACATGGGCACATACAGACTCCAAAGGTACCTCTGTCTTATGACCATCCATCTTATTGCCCATATTTACCATGATATTAAAGTGACCTTAATGTCCTTCTGTCTTCAGTGCAGTAAGCTGCTGGGTGGAGCCACAGAATAGCTTAGATTTTTTTTTTTTTTCTCTTAGTGATTGTTCTGAGACTAGGTTGTTGGTCATACTGGGGTTAGCCAACCATCTCGGAGAGAGGGGCATTTGTTAGCTGATCTGGGCCATTGGGTTGTGGGAACAACCTCACTCATTATCTTTCCCTTTTTCAACCAGGACCGAGAACCACTGCGCACTATATATCTCAAAGATGTTCTCAAGACCCATGAGTGTCTGGTCAAATCTGGGTAATTATCTTGGCTTATTTTTTCTTTTCTTTTTTTTTTTGGTACCAGGATTGAACCCAGGGTCACTTAACCACTAAGCCACATCCTCGGCTCTTTTGTACATTTATTTAAAGACAGGATCTCACTGAGTTGCATAGGGCCTTGCTAAGATGCTGAGGCTGTCTTTGAACTTGCCATCCTCCTCCCTCAGCTTCCTGAGCTGCTGCAATTACAGACTTGCGCCACAGTGCCCAACTTCTGCTTACTCTTTTCTGATCAGAACCTCCATTTGCTTTCTTAAATCTTCATTTTGTACCCTTCTGAGGCTCTCTTTCAGAGTCTTCTTCTGGGGACAGGGGTGTAGCTCAGTGGGAGAGGGTGGGCTTAGTATGTACAAGGCTTTGGGTTCAATCCCCAGCACCAAAAAAAAAACACAAAAAACCCACAAGAAAATAAACAAAAACCAAGAGCAACAAAAAATTCCTTCCAAGAGCAAGGTAAGGTAAGGACCCTCATATCTTGTGGCTGACTCACTGTATCCAAGCTGTTACAGGGATGAGATCACACTGAGCAAACTTACCTTTTCCCATTAGGTAATAGTTCCTTAGGAGAGGAGACTCTAAAATAAATTCTCTTGGAGGAAAAGAAAAAATATGGTAATGAGAAAGGGAAAGGGAGTGGGGCTCAGAAGCTTCTCAGGTGCTAGATGCTTTTCCTCCAGGAGGACGAGGCTAAGAGGAGAACTTTGCCTTTACATCACTAACTGCAGTGCTGGTCAGATCACTGCTGATGCCAGTGCTTCAAGCCTAAATTTCTTTGGCCTCTTCTCCTTTAGACCTTGATGTCCCATTAACACAGGGTGATTCATAACATTTCCAGGTTACTATCATTGGGCAGGATGAGCCTGTTTTTGTTGTGATTTTTTTTCTTTTTCTTCTTTTTTTGATGCTGGAGATGAAACCTGGGGCAGTTGTGCATGCCAGGCAGGCAAGCTGTCTGCCACTGAGCTATACCCCCAGTCGTGAACAAGTGTTGTTGTTGTTTTTTCCTAAACAAGTGGTGTTTTTTTTTTTTTTTGTACACAATAACTTTATTTATTTTTATGTGGTGCTGAGGATCAAACCCAGGGCCTTGCATGTGCAAGGCGAGTGCTCTACTGCTGAGCCATAACCCCAGCCCCTAAACAAGTGTTTTTAATATGTTCCTCTTTACTTAGGAAATGGTTGCCTTCGAAGTGCTGTGGTACATAGCATGAGTTTGGGACTTGACAAGGGAATATCCCGCATTTAACCCCAAATACAGATATCCCCAGAACTATACTGTACAGACCCCCAAGGGCATCTGGCGTGTAGAAATCCTCTTTTTTGGCCATCAGTGTGCAGTCTTAGAACCCTTGTGTTTGTTGTCCTGTGTTCTGTAGACTGTGCATGCAGAGCTCACATACATCATCACAGAGACTATTAGCAGCAGGCAGCCTATTCTCCCATGAAGGCATGAGACAATATTACATGAAAATATCATGCTGTGGGACCCAAGGAGGCTGGGGAAGAAACATTGGACTGGGTCTTGCAAGTGGCAGTTGCAGAGTTTAGAGGATTGGGGAGGTTCCCAGTGACAATTTATAATTTATGAAAGAAGCTGAAGACGGAAGTTCCAGATGTGTAGCTCCAGAGGGAGGCAGTGGGCAGAAGAAGAATAGGGCATGATTAGATCCTGGGAGATCCTTCATGGTTGCTGACCTGAAAGGCTTGTGCAGGTGAGAGATCACCTACATGTTGAGGTAGCTTAGAGAACCAAGGTAGGGTTCCATCCTAAGATCCTTAAGTTTTCCCTAACTCTTATTCTGACAGAATTTCACTAAGCTCTTGAGTAAAAGAAGTTGGGGAGTTGAAGCCAGCTGGGAAGGGACCTGCAGCTTCCAGGTCTGGTAGATGGCGTGGCTTCTCTAGAATCCAGTTAGGAGAATTCAGGACATCTGGATAGTCAATGTACGTAGAATTGAAAGGGAATATGTATCTGGGAAGGAGATGTGAAGGGGGTGCTTTCCTTTCCTCTCTGTATTCGATTTTGTGATTGCATTGCATATGCATTAATAGTCTAAAAGGTTAAATCATTTTAGCCACCAAAGAGCCATCTCTATTCAGAAACACTATGTCAAGTGCTATGCTTTATACTAGATGCCTTCTGTATCTTTTCAGTGACCAGCTCAGTAAGGGATGTCTTCTCATTTCTATTAAACACTTGGTTACAAATATCTTTTTTCTTGAATAGAGTCAGATCCCCCGCCCACCGGCATCAGCTGAACGTGTGGCATTTTCGGCACTGCCCACAGTGGCATCTGCAGACCATTGTAAGAAAAGACATCATCTGCCAGTATTGGGTGCTTTACCAGTGAGCAAGATTCCCAGCCCTTTTTATATTTTATTTTGAGACAGGATCTTGCTCACTTACCGAGGTTGGCCTTGAGCTTGTGAACTCCTGTCTTAGCCTCCTGAGTTGCTGGGATTATAGATGTGCATCACCACAAGCAGTGGAATTTGACCCCAGTTCTTTCTGACCAGTGGTGTCAATCCTTTTTTATGCAGTACCTATTGTCACTGGCCAACCTCCTGCCAGTTCCTTCCAAGTCTGCATTCAAAAGTCCACACCTGCTCATGACCAGTCCTTTCTAGGAATGAGTCTGATTCTTTGTGTGTAACACAAAATTTACTAACGTCTGATTGTGTAGTCTTGCTCTCTTAGGTTCTTTTATTGGGTAGGAATTATATTTCCTGCAGCAGGCATTTAATATTGTAAATGATTTTGGCCAATTTGAGGTTTGTCCCTGAGCATCTGTTATTTCTTATTCTCTTTTTTGCAGAAGTCAGAAAACCCATATGTACTTTGAAGCAGATATTAAAGTGGTCTACTCTCATCTTCATTTTTTTCTCTTTAGTTCTTGTCTTCTGGGCCCAGGACAGAAAGCAGGAATTGAGGATAAGGTTGCTGCTCAGGGGGAGGAAGGCTGTAGAAGTGGAGAATTTGATCCTTAATAGAAGCAAATGGCATTGGAATATTTAAAAGCCTAGACTCTGGAATCAGACCTGGGTCCAGTTCTCTGGCACCATCCACATATATATCATTTAAACTCTCCAAGCCTGGCTTTCTTCATCTATAAAGTATGGAAAATCTTTAGATGCCTCACGGGATGGTTGTGAAGATTGCATAACATAGGGCGGTAGCTGTTAACTCAGTGGCAGAGCACTTGCCTAGCATGTGTGAGACACTGGATTTGATCCTTAGCACTGCATAAGAAGGAGGGAGGGAGAAGGGATGGATTGAAGAAAATAAAACTGTAGGAGGTGGGGGGTGTGGTGGATATTAAACAGGAGGTTTTGGAAGGAAAGAAGCTTTAATCTTGTTGGAACTGGTGGTGGTGGTGGTGGGGGTCCATCAGAATAGCAAAGAATTCCTGAGACCTTCGAAGAGGTGAGGCTGGAGGGAATCCCCAGAGTGTTTTTGAGGCAGTGGCTAAAGGAGGAATGGCCTGGACACACCTGCCCATCTTTTACTTTTTTATTTATTATTTTTTTTTTAAAGAGAGAGTGAGAGAGAGAGAGAGAGAGAGAGAGAGAGAGAATTTTTTAATATTTATTTTTTAGTTTTTGGTGGACACAACATCTTTTGGGTTTTTTTGTATGTGGTGCTGAGGATCGAACCCAGGCCGCACGCATGCCAGGCGAGCGCGATACCGCTTGAGCCACATCCCCAGTCCTCATCTTTTATTTTCAATGGTAGTGGATACTGGTGCCTAGACTTAGTATCAGTGAAGCTCAGAATATATGCCAGTATGCGCAGTAACTTCCTTTCTCTTTCTCTGTCTAGTGATCTCTTAATGAGGGACAACCTGTTTGAAATAATAACAAGCTCCCGGACCTTCTACATACAGGTAAAGTGCTCACCCAGAGAAGACTAGCATTCCTTTTCTGTTTACAGTGTATTTATAGACCTCGCCCTTTCATTTGCTTTCTCTTTTCTTTTGCTTGAGGTTTCCATGTGGTAAATTTAGCCCCTAATAGTCTTGAGTCCCATTTTATTCTAAACAGGATGTTTGCCTGAAGCTTCCCAACCATAAAATAATAAAGCAGGTTGAGCCACTGTACTGGAGAACGAGAGTTTCTACCAACTGCTCTCAGCTGCTGGGCTCCAACTGAGCAGAGAAAAGGAGAACTGGTCAGGGATTTCACTTCTGCTTTGGAGGGTATTTATAAGTCCTGTCTGTGTATGGACATCACTGTGTGCGAATGACAGAAGCACAGAGGGCCCTGTGCAGGCACCAGGTGCAGAGCCCAGCTGCACAGAGAAAGCCATTGTTTGGATTCTGACAGTTCACTTATCAGAAGCTTCTCCCCTCCACCCACGACTTTGGAGTTGTCCCAACCTCTTCTAAAGTCATAGGAGCTAGCAAGGCAGATTTCCAAGCAGGGCCTAGACATTCAGTGCCAAGTCCCTAGCCCAGCCTGCCTGGCGATCCGCAGAGAGTATGTTGATCTCCTGCATTGTGCTGATGAGGAATTTCTAACATTAAAACTGATGCACAGTGTGCTGGCTTAAATGCAGGCTGCCCAACTCCAGCTTTTGTGTTAGGCAGCTCTCTTTCTTTTCTACTCCCCACTAAACACCCTCCTTTCTGTAGGGGATCAGACCCTTTTCCTGTTTCTTGGGCAGTGGCTCCTGTGATTCCAGTGTTCCTCTGCCTGTACCCAGCAGACATAATAGTGGACTGAATCATCAGCAGACAGTGCCCATTCAGACAAGCACGTACCTTCCAGGAAGAGATGAGGGGAGGCTTTGGAGCAAACTGGACTGGGGAAAGGGTCACTGTAGTATTAAAGCTACTTATTCACTGGCACCATGGCCATGTAGGGACAAGGTTGAGCCTGTAGATGCAGCAAGGGAGCGTCTAGTCCTTGCACTCCATGGAGTTTGTAGAGTATGCTCAGGATAGCTAGGCATTTTATGTTGGGTTGGGGTCACCACATTAAAACAGAACCAATCCTGAACCTAAGAGAGAGTTCTAGCCAAGTTAACAGGCAGTTAAAACCCAATGATGGGGTAGGGGAGGGAGTTTGGATAGGTGAAGCTGAGATGTGTTTGCAGGGTAGTACAACTGTTATATGCCATAATGTTGAATGCGTGGCCTAGAACTTTACGGCACAAAGAGTCAACCTTAATATATTCAAGTTGAAGAAAAAAATTAGGAGGTCAGATGATCACTGCATGAAATGCCAAATGTGCCAAAAGATTTTAAATGTATTCCAAATATGAAACAAACTCCCAGAAAGGAGTGAGGGAATACAAATCAGAAAATAGCTTGATTGGCATGATTGCTGCCATTAGGACTTGTAAGAAGGTCTTTTCTGCAAGTCTTAGGGAAGGTTTCCTGAAGGAAGATACATCTTTGCTGGGTCAGGGGAAGAATAGTCCAGGCAAAAGAGTAGCACTTATGATCAAGAGCCTGGAGGTGAAGCAGTGAAGAACCTGAGGGGGCTGGACAGCTAGGTGCCTTGGTAGACAGCTTGTGCTTTATCCTGAGTTAGTGCCTGGGAAGTTAAATGAAGGGACTGCCTTGGTCAGGTTTGCCTTTAAATATGGCATGTGGACTGGGCAAATTATTTAACTTTCAGAGCCTCGTTTTCCTTAATTGTAAAATGCTGTTTGTAGATTGTGTGGCCCAGTGCAGTGCAGAGGACACAGGACAAGGGAGGACTAGGATTTGGTTGGATGAAGGGAGAGAGGGGAGAGGTCCGGATAATGCTCAGATGTTTAGCTTGAGCATCAGTGTGGCTGATGGTATCTGTCACTTTCATGATAACACAGAAGGGGAAAACTACTAAGGGGATGGGCAAGGTAAGCATAGGTGATTGTGAATTTACAGTACTTGTGACACTTCCAAGGAGACATGTTATGAGGACCATTGACTAGTTGATGCTTAACACATTGATGATACTGAATATCTGTCAAGTGAATGATGGTGCTGGTTGTAAGATAGTGATTATAAGAAACCTGGGCTGAAGATATTGATTTATGAAACATAAAACCCAACCAAGAAATGTTCAGAAGACATTGTATTATCTGCATGAGTGTATACACGATTCCTGAAAGAGGCTCATCACTTCTGTCCTCCTTTCCCCTCAACTCCCCACATTTCTAGGATAAAAGGATACTGGCACCACCCTGAACAAATTATGAGTAAGTGATCAAATTAGTTTATAACACCAAACTCAGAATGGAAAATAAGAGAAGATATAGATGAAAATAATCATTAAAAGTATTTGTTAGTTCATTTAGAAGTGGAAACTATAAACTCACTATAAGCTATTATATTAACTTATTATATAAGTTATCATGAAAAATAGCTTTCTAAAAATTATCAAGAAAAGAAGTAGTGTTTTTATATTTTTGTAAATCTCTTCAATGGCTGGCTTAGTAGATGACAATAGGATTCTCATTATCTGCTTCTGCATTCTATCTGTGGCCATATGTTGTTTTGATTAAGAAATATGAAAGTCTGGCTTTACAGAAATATGTACTGGAAAAGAGTTTTTTAAATATCCTTTTTAGATAATCTTGAATATTCTTCTTTGATTCTATACCAAAGCTTGACAAATGGTAATTTCTTAATGTTTAGATACAATGTGGAATCTGAAGTAATATCTATAAACTTTTATATTCTTACATTAGAATCTGTTAGTCAGTTTTACACTTCGAATAGATACTTTTTATCCATGCCAGCCTGCATTACTCATTTGGAAAATACTGGTCTCACTGAGGTATACAGATCTTCAAAATGTTGACTCATTTTATTATGTAATATTTTAAAATCACAATCTTTAATATTACTAGCAAAGTTTTTATGTATGGAAATTTGTTGAGCTCATGGAGATAGGGACAAGTCTTCTGAGATTCTAATTTTTGCTTGGAATGCTCAATATTTACCATTGGCAAAAAAAAAAAAAATACTGCCATAATTTATCCTCAGTGTTCATTTTATTCATTTTTGAAGAAAAAATACTGCCAAATTTCTAAGTGTGAATAAATTAGACTGAGTTCATGTGTCAGTTATTTGTTCCAAGTGAAAATCATGTGCAAAGGGTAAAAGAATGTGACTACTTCTGTAGTTTGGTGCTGAGGTGCCAGAAGTTTTACCTTCCATGCCATAATGGCTTTCTGACCTGCCTCCTAAGTTAGGCTCAGTACATCTGCCAAAAAGAACTGTCTTCTGCATCTGGGAAAGCTATCTGCATGAGCACAGTGATCTTGGCAGAAAAAAACAACTCTATGGACAGAGAAGAAAGACTTGGGATGGATTCTGACTATTTAATTTGTATTATGTGTACTCTATGATCTCACATGTTATAGTCTTTGCTATTAAAAGGGGGGGGGGGAAGCAATTGTTTATTGATGTTCCAGACACAGCGCTAAGCAACTTATAGGCAGTGTACCACTTAATTCTCCACCATCCCTGAACTTATCTCCATTTCACATGAGAACCCAGAGTCTCTGAAAGTAAATTATTTGTCTGGGTTCATACACCCAGTAAACCAAGGAACCAACTGTGAGGCTAGAACAAGACTGGCTCATTTGTGTAAGAGAAGTTGGTCCAGAACCCAAGATGTAGAGGGTGTGGCTACAGGAACTAGAGAAGTTTGACTTTGTATCAGGGAAAACCAACTTGGGGTTGGGTCATGGTAACCAAATATTCAGGATCCGGCAGTAGTCAGGTATCAAAGCAGGTGGAAAGGTGGGTGCTTGAGAAGCTTGTCAGCAGGCAGGGAGTTCTCAGTTCTGGACGGGGCTTCAAAATGAGATTTCAATTCTTGGGGTGGAAGGCCAGCAGGGGTCACCATTTCCCCAGTCACCGAGGGCCTGGGGTATTAGGCAGCTTACTATGAGGAGGACTCATTATTCAAAATGAGAAATGTACAAACGGATCTTGATAACTTGGCATGAACCCACTTGTCAGAACTAGAGTGCTATGAGCTGGGCACAGTGGCACACACCTGTAATCCCAGCGACTTTGGAGGCCCAGTCAGGAGGATTATAAGTTCAAGGCCAGCCTGGGCAATTTAGCCAGACCCCATTTCAAAATAAAGAAATAAAAAGTGCTGGGGATGTAGCTAGTGGTAGAATGCCCCTGGGTTTATTCCTCTGTTCAACACACATGATACACCTCCCACCCCTCAATAAACCCAGCGTGCTGTGTCAGGACAGGAGCAGCAATAAGGGGATTCACAAATTAATTGCAAAATATTGGGCCTAAAACTCTCTGGATCCTCACTGTTTACGCAGACTGCAAGCTGAGTGACATCACTTAGAGGTGCAGTCAACACAGTCATATGTGACGGGGTTGTGTCTAAAGATTGGGTAGGTTCTTGAGAAGAGGGTAGAGGTAGTCCTCTGTTGGGACAGGTAGCCTTCAGAAGTTGGAAATGGAAGGAGGATCTGCCAAAAGATTTAGGATGGGGCATTGGCAATAACCAGAGGTAGAAACTAGATACCTTTTGCTGGTGGCCTCCATAATTCATTACTTCAAACCACTGATGCATCTGTTATCCTGCTGGGATTATAGTAGACACTCAGTAAAAAGTTAGTTGGACTTCAAGAAAACCACAGTCTGAATGACTCATTTTAATACTCTTTGTCCCTCTCATCTCAAAAATGTTGTCAAAGGTGGAAACCCTACTTTTGAACCAAGCACCAGAAACAAATGCACACACAAATGCACTCCAGGAAGAGGAGAAGGTGTTAGTTTGGCATTTCCCTTTTTGTTCTACCCAGTTTTAAGCATTCTTTAGTCTGTTAGTGATTTACATGGTAGGTGGACCTCAGCTCGAATTTTTACCTCTGGTTCATGAAGCTACCTTGTGATGTGGTTTTAAGATTTTTTTTTTTTTTTTTTTTGAGATTTTGATGAAAAGTAAGTAGAGGCTTTCCATAAAAAGTAGATATCTTCATACTCCATAATTCTTGTTTGTGTGCACTACTAGGATTGAACCCAGGGATGCTCTTCCACTGAGTTATATCCCCAGCCCCCCAGCCTTTAAAAAAATTTTGGTATGGAGTTTCACTAAATTGTCAAGGCTGGCATCAAGCTTGCAATCCTCCTGCCTTCTCCTCCCAGGTCATTGGGATTGTGGGTGTGTGCCACCACACCTGGCCATACACCATATTTTTTGCATACAATATTTTATGTTTCATTGAATTTTTTTGCCCCAAATATGGACCCTAGTTCTTAAAGCTATAGAGATTGTTAATGTGATCCCAATAAAATAATATTCTCTTTCTTCCAATATGGAATCAATTGTAATATCTGTTCTTCTATCTAAATCGTATTTTAAAATAATGTTTAAATAACATTTTAAAAATAATGGTTAAAACTACTAATAGAGACTGCTAATATAGTTTCTAAAATAGCAGTCTGTCTCCACTGGGCACAGTGCACACACATACCTGTAATCCTTCCAACTCTGGTGGCTGAGGCAAGAGGATCATAAGTTTGAGGACAGCTTGGACAACTTAGACCGTGTCTCAAAATAAAATAAAAAGGGGCAGGGGTATAACTAAGTTGTAGAGCACCCCTGGGTTCAATCCCCAGTATTGTAAAATTAAAAAATATATATATGTTCTTTCTATATGGGCTCAATTGAAATACTTGCTTTTCTCTTTGAATTATATATATAATATACATATAAATTATATTTGTGCTGGGAATTGAACCAGGGCCTTTGCACATTTCAATCATGTACTCTCCCACTGAGCTACATACCTCAGTCCTGCATTGGACATGGTGGGGGACATTTTACTAGGATGGTGGGAAGAGTAGCTTATTGGATTGCCCTCATGGGAATGTTCCAGTCTGTTAAATGAAAACGTCAAATCTCCTTTGTGTATGGGAGGCGTTTGTTTTTCCCTCAGCTCCTGTTTATCTTTTCCTTTGTCTTCCAATATTCTCTGTACCAAATCATCATTTGTTTCCCTAGAAGAAAAAGCCCTAGTAAATGCTCTTCTCCTCACGAACAATTACCTCCATCTCATTCAAATTCTGAATAACCTTTTTTTCTTTCCATATATATTATATAATTTGATCCTGACAATTTGATCTTTTGAAATATGATTTATATGCAGTTTGAGGAGAAAAGGTCTCAGGGAGAGAGAGCAGTGAACAAATAGTAGAATTTAATGCATTATTTTCTTCTCACGTATCATATAATATTAATATTAATAATAAAATTCCTAATAGCCTTACAGAGTATCAAACAGGCTCAAACATCTTTACCTAATTGAGCTTCCACTAGTTCTACCTATAGAATAAGGTATTTCTAATCAGTAAAAGTTTGGAGATTTGTTATCCTGGTTATCATTTTGTTCTAAGGATGAATTTATCTTTTTCTTGGGAAACTACGAGGTTTTCAAATAACTGGAAAGAGTCGGGGGGTTGTTGTGCTAACACATTTGCAGGCATAGCACATGTGAGAGGTGTTCACCTCGGGCCCTTGTTGCTACACACTTTTTGACCTAGTGTCCTTGATCACTGTCTTTGCACATGTCCAACTAAGGAGGGTTTGTTTTGAAGTGACAGGAAAGAGTAAGTGCAGATTTGAGGATTAAAAAGCCAATCAACCAAACCAAACCTGGTCATGTTCTATCCTGATAGAAAGCAAATAAAAGGAATCATTTTGGGCAAGGAAGAAGTAAGGTGAGGACATGGAGAACTTTGAGGATTGGAATGTGATGTTTGTACAAACTTTTGCACATGCATGCAAATACATGTTTGTGTTGTGTGGGACTCTCAGAGAAGGTGCCAGGTGAAGCCTAACAAATGTCATTTTCTGGAGGTCAGGGATTTAGTCCAATTTTCACCTCTGTGGCTAGCATCTGTTGGAGCATATAACACTTACGTAGGGCCCTTGGTAAATGTCTGCAGATTTCACTTGAACTCAGCTCTTCTCAAGCTGTGAAGTGCTGAGAAGCTCTGCCTGTAGTGGCCAGACTGCTTGATTTTTCTTCCTCTTTTCAGAGGCTCTGCTGCCCCCTTCTGGGGTTAGTAGGTTATTTCTGGGGAAAATACTTGGATTCCTCAGCGTGGTCCTGCATATTCTTAAACTTAGATCTCCCAGATCCACAACTTTTGAAGCCTGGATGGATTTTTCAGGACAGACCCAGGTAGTGTGTGCCTTGATAAAAGCCCCATTTCTGGAGATCATACATATAATTATATATACTTTGGATTTGCACAGGAATTTGACTTTAATGGAATTGAAAGTGGGATTATTCTGTTGAGATCATTATAGTGGAAAGATAACTATGTTGAGAGTAAGAAGAACTCAAATCTAGATCAGCTATAAACCTTAAACTTTGGCTTTTGGGGCCTCATTTTCCTTTTCTGTAAAACTAGGAGGGCAGACTGGGTCACTTCTTTTCCAGGAAGAGCAAGGAACTTCCAATAGGGGGACACTGCACTAAGCTCCCCCAACCCCGGCCCCTGCCCCTGCCCCACTTTATAACAACTCTATTTTGAGGGATTTTATTTATTGGGTGTCAAATAACATATTTCAAGGGAAAAATGCCCTCAAAGCCTGCAAGCCACTGGACTAGATGATTTCCAAGATCCTTTCCAGCTCTAACGGTGTGATTTTATGAACTCAAATTTGAGTCAGAGTCTTGAAAGCTGAAATCACAGTCCAGAAATGTCCATAAGTGCTGTGGGTATTTTGCAGGCGGATAGTCCAGAAGACATGCACAGCTGGATTAAGGAGATTGGGACAGCTGTCCAGGCCCTCAAGTGCCACCCCAGAGTAAGTCACTTCCTTTCTGTTGCACAATGTCAACTTGGAGAGCTTCTCCTTGAGCGGGTGTGTTTTATTTGGTGATGTAGGCAAGCAGCCCAGGCCCTAGATACAGCTGAAGTCACAGACTGACTTGTTTTTCTCTTTCTACTAATTTTTGTTTTTGTTTTTCTTTTTGGTTGTTGGAAGAAATGAGGTACTGTTGGTCAGAAACATAGAGTTTCTTTAGGTCTCGATGCTACACAGACCCTGATACACGTGGAGTGAATTCTGGTGAACCTTTTAACTTTTTTATTTTTTGAGGCAGGATCTTACTATGTGGCTCAGGCTGGCCTTGAACTCCTAGGTCCAAGTGTTTCTCCTGCTTTAGCCTCCCGCATAGTATGAACCATTGTACTTGGCTTTGTCACACATATATGATTTTTTTAATGTATTTTATTTTATTGATTTTTAAAAAATAAACGGCAGCAGAATGCATTACAATTCATATTACACATATAGAGCACAATTTTTCGTATCTCTGGTTGTATATAAAGTATGTTCACACTAATTCGTGTCTTCATACATGTACTTTGGATAATAATGTCCATCACATTCCACCATCATTTCTAACCCCATGCCCCCTCCTTTCCCCTCCCTCCCCTCTGCCCTATCTAGAGTTTGTCTATTCCTCCCATGCTCCCCGTCCCTTACCCCATTATGAATCAATCATTTTATATCTCATATTTGATTTTTGTGGACAAGCGTCTCTGGACCTATGAGGTGGTGATCCTGGGTGGATATTTTTTCTTGGGGCTTTGGGATAAACATTGTCAGGAAAAGCTCTTACTGTCCTTTGTTTTTTTCTTGCCTTTTTTTGTTTCCAGGACATATCCTTTTCCAGATCCATTTCTTTGACTCGACCTGGAAGCTCCAGCTTCACAGGGGGGCCTAACTCTGTCTTCTGCAGAGGGCGGCCACCTGTGGAAGAGAAGAAAACCCTCTGCAAAGCCCCTTCTGTGGCCTCTGCTTGGCAACCCTGGACACCTGTCCCCCAGGCTGGGGAAAAGCTGCTTCCAGCTGAAGAGACTCCAGAGGACTCTTTGTTCATGCCTCGACTTGGGGAGAGCAGTACTGCTGGGGTGTTGTCAGGCTCCCGAATAAGGCACAGATCAGAGCCCCAGCACCCCAAGGAGAAACCCTTTGTGTTCAACCTTGACGATGAAAACATACGGACCTCTGATGTGTGATGAAGCACAGTGCCATGGGAGGAAGTGGGGGAGGGAGGGAGGACTTGAGAGAAAGAGGCTGTGGCTCATTTTCTCTCCTTGTTGGAGGACAGTCAGAGCCTTTAATGGCACTCATATTCCTGTGGAAGCTGTGTTGGAGGGCCCCAGCCAAGTGGCTTTTTTTTTCCCTTTTTTTATATTATCAATGCAGTATATTTAATTTGGGGGAAATCACTAGGTTAGATCTGTAGGCATACTCAGTGAAGAGAGAGCGGCTTGCCTCTTGTTGATCTATTCCAAGGTCTTTTGTGTGATGGGCTATCTTTAGCATCTCCGCTTCTGAAGAGGTTGGGAGTCATTTCACCCTGACCAAATTGTACTTCCTTGTCCTTGTTTTAGTTTTTTTTTGTTGTTGTTTTATTTTCAATCTGGGCACAGGCTCTTAGGCCAGTCACCTGGTTTTAGTCCATACCTATGTATTGGTTCAAGTTTGTGAAGCAGGTAACTAACCCAGCTGAAAGGCTGAAAGGCTTCAGAGTAGGGGAAAACCCAGATTCTGGCTTGACAGGGAGCCGTTCTGAGAGGTAGTGTTTAGAATCTGGAGGGTGGCCTTTAGAATATGTCTGCAAGGGTGGGTCCCCTAGGATACCTCCCAGGAGAAGAGATGGGGATCTTTTTGAGGCCTGAGGAATAAGTCAACTCTACTGCATGAGCCAGTTTTGAAAATTACTCTGTTCTCTTGATGCTATGACCCCAAATGTTATAGATTGAGGAACAGACCCATTAGAATTGTTTCTTTATCAGGCCCCAAGGACCGGTATCAGTGTTAAATACTATGACTGTTGAGAACAGAACAGACATTTCCCTTGATAATGGTGTTACTTGGAATGTGTGGGGTTGGTAAGCGTGTGATAATTCATGTGTGTGATAGATCAATCTCTATCTCAGAGTTTTAGATAGGTTAAAAGCAGGTGCTGAGAAGAGATGGATCATCCTGCTAAGTTTTTTGATCCATGTTTTCTGGATAGGAGAAAAGTTTTATTCTGGCAAAGACATATTGCCTTGAATCCTTGCCTCACAGCTCTTTTTGATGGGCCAATATTTGTCTAATTTTAAGTGCAGTTTATTATATACCTTGGCAGATTTGCTTTCTTTTTGACCTTTCTGTTGCCCTTTGGATGGAGTTGTGTGCTTGCATGATCAGACCCTGTAATCTGATGAGGTTCCATGTGGAAAAATACAAAGATAATCTTGAGATTATATTTTAGTGGAATAAAAATGGGGCATAAAAGCATTGATTTAGAGGTTACAAATTACTGACTAGAGATTTCCCAGGAGTTGCCCAAACAAATTTGAGGGCATATTTTCTTTCACTGGACAAGATACTATTTCTAGTGTCCTTGGGCACATTTACCTATCCAATTTTTTTAGTGCATTGCTATCAGAAACTTAGGAGGGTTTCATAAAGGGATAGAGAACTTGGCTTATTTCTATCAGTAGCTTTCATCAGCTAGATCAGTTAATTATACTTTAATTAAAAATAGTGACTAGAGGAAGAGACTAAGAGGAAGAATAAATCCCGGTTCCTTCTTGTGTCCATATCTAATGCAGAAGCAAAAACACCTGAAGAAGAAATTTTTAGTGGCTTTGAAAAGAATCATGTTCTTCCAGGTAGTGCTGTTTTTCTGAAATGTGTTTCACATTGAGAACTCTTTCTGATTTCACTGTGTTGGAGCTGTCCTTCACTTAAGTTTAGTCTTGTGGTCTTAATCTAAAAAGAGAAATCTACTGGATCTTTCTCTTTTCTTCCCATCTTCTTTTAAAAATAAACTCTTGTGTACTTTTTTTCTCAGAAATTCTTGGTTTGGGAATTATTTATTTATGAGTGATCAACCTACTTCGAATAGCCTGATTTTAAGAAGCCATTCCAGATTTTTAAAGTTCCTTGTCTCTGGTTTCACCTTCATATTTTTCTCAAGAAAATTATTTGGCTAATAAATACAAGTGCACAGAATGTGATGTGGAACTAATGAAAATAAATTAATGTTTTAAATCTCTTTAAACATTCCCTGACTCATGGAAATGATGTCATCTCTTGGTGTTTGAATTGTGAAAATATACCCATTTTCTTTTTGTAAATCTCTGCTAGGTTACCACTGCTTAAGGAATTGACCATTATAGTAAGCTGATAGGATTCTCATTTAGTAAAGTCTGTTTTGAAAGGGTGTTAAATATAATCCAGCTAGTATTATCTTAATAAAGGGAAAACAAGGACTCTTATTGGTATATACTTAGGAATACTTGGGAATTCCAAGTTAGAACATCATTAACATAGTAACAATATCAGAAAAATAAAAATATCTTCCATAAAGCCTAAAAGCATTGCATTCCCAAATCTTATTTCAAAATTCCATCTTTGTCCATATTTCTTACCTTCTGGCCAGTTTCACACCAGAGCCTTTTAATATGAGCCAAAGATAGTGCATATATGACCATAGCATTTAATTTTAAATGTATGAAATTGAATCAAATAGAAAAAATGGGTTGGGGATGCCATATGGGTTAGTGGTTAAGTGCTTAAGCTCTGGAATAAATCTAGATCTAAAAAAAGGAACTAAAAAAGGTACAACTTTTTCTTTGGGGAATGAAACCTGATCTGAATTGGCTCACTCTTTCTTTTTTTAATATTATGTTTTAGTTATGGTTGGACACAATACCTTTATTTTATTTTTATGTGGTGCTGAGGATCAAACCCAGCACCCTGCACATGCGAGGCCAGTACTCTACTGCTGAGCCACAACCCCAGCCCCTGAATTGGCTCTTTCCATGAGGCTTTTGAAGTTGTCCTGACCCACATATGTGTAACAGTATTTCAGGTGGTCTTCTCTATAGCTGAACTGCTTACCATCCATTATTCTTGAAAACTTTGATGGACTCCCTTACTCAAGGTGAGATGATAGTTGGTAAAAATAGTTTCCCTTTTGCTTTCTGTGAGACATTGTAGGGGCACAGAGTTGTACACCTTGGAGAATGACCTCAGGTCAAAATAGTGAAGTTATACTTCTACTTCAGAGCAGAATGCTGAGCTCCTATGAGAAAGAGTAGATTTAAGGTCTAGAGTCTTAGTTTACTGGAAGAAAAAGTTGGGTTTTTTTTTTTTTCTCTCTGAATGTAAATGTGCTCTGATATGTATTAAAATGACCCCATAAATAAATAGCAGATTCAGTAGGTAAGCAGGGGGGTATGATGAGTTTGTTTTCAGTGTTAACCAGATAAACAGGTATATGGACACATTAATAGCATTTTGGAAATTTAATTTCTCAAGTCAGCTTTCTTTATTAACTTTAAACATGTCAGAAATGAGCAGGTTTATTAAATATTTTCTACCAACATCCTTTTTTCCTCTTGGTCCTTTTTTTCCTGTGTTATTGCCTGCAGCAATTACAGTCACAAGCGATAGGTAGAGTTTGAATGAAGCAACTGTTTGGCAAAAACATATTATGTGACCCCTTCCCCCTCTGCTTATGAAGATGTGGCATGATGTTGTGTTATGTTGAACCAAACTGTTTCAGCTGTGAAATGCACTCGCTGCAAGCACTGAGCTGAGTGCATGGAAACTGTTATGCTTCTCATTTTATGTGATCTCCTAATTGGTATGTAGCAAAAATAATTTTCTAAAGCTGTTTTGTTGCTTGTTTTGTAATAAAACCATGTGAAATACTGTAATACGGTTGTGTTTTCTTAATACCCGCCTTGGGTGGGTGATGGCTCTTGTCAGTTTGCCCTCAGTATTGCTTTAACGGGGCTCATGGTGTAGATCTCTTCTCAGGAAAGGGCTACGGACCTGCCAGCAGTGCTTGGGGGTGACCCTGAACCTGGGGCGGGACGGGTGGTGGGCGATGTATGGGTGTGTGTATGGAGAGGTCTGCCAGGCTCTGCTCCTTAAAGCCTGGAGGCTGGTGGAGGCGGCTGGCAACCTGGCCAGGAAAGTGTTGTTCATCTTAGGCCAGCTTGTGAGTCCAGAGTGAAGTAACTGGAAAAGTGCAAGCGAAGAAGAAAGCAAGATGAGTAGACCTCTGCTGCAGCCAGCTGGGCTCTTACAGTTCCTTCTGCCGTGGCTGCTGTTGACCCCGGTACCTGTGGCCAGGGTCGAGGCAAGGAGATCCAGAGCCTTGCTGCCCTGCCCCGTGGTCTGCGAGCCGACGCGCTGTCCCCCGCTGCCCACCTGTTCCGCGGGGACAACACCAGTGCTCGACCGCTGCCGTTGCTGCCGCGTCTGTGCTGCCGCTGAGGGCGAAGCCTGCGGCGGGGCGCGTGGCCTGCCCTGCGGCCCTGGGCTGAAATGTGGCGCGCCCTTCAGCCAGGAGTACGTCGGCGGCCCCTGGCTGGGCACCTGCGGCTGCCCGGCGACAGGGGCGGCGGTGTGCGGCAGCGACGGGCGCACCTATGCCAGTCTGTGCGCCCTCCGCGCGGAGAACCGCGCCGCGCGTCTCCGTGGCGCGCTCCCAGCTGTGCCGGTGCAGAAAGGGTACTGCGGTGATCCAGGTGAGCGCAAGGACAAATTTGGATTTGTCCAGCAAATCCAAATCCAGCGGGCAGATTTTTTTTTTTTTTTTTTTTTTTAATACCAGGGATTGAACCCAGGAGTGTCCCGACTCGGAACACTTTTTTTGAACTTTTTTTCTTCTTCCTCTGTTGCCCTGGCTGTTGTCGAACTCCCACCTCAGTCTTCGGAGTAGCTGGGATAAGAGTCGTGTGCCACCGCCCCAGCTACCGCCCCACCAACGCCCGGTTTTCTTGGGGGGACTGCGGGTAGCACCCTCGGGCGTACTAGGAAAGCGCTCTACCACTGAGCAATACCCCAATCCTTGAATTTAAGCATAATTATTCACTCCCTCGTTTCAATCACACAGTCCGCGTGCGGCTCACTGTTTTATTTGCCCCAGGGATTCAACTTTTTTTGTTTGTTTCTGATTTTCTTTCTTCCTTAATAGGAGTCTCTTTACCAGTTACCACGCGGTTTCTCCCCATTCGCCTTTTGAATACGGTCTTCCCTTTGTGATTATTTTCCAACTGGTGTGACAGGTCTGACTCTCTTGAGGTGTTGGTGTATGGGGCTACAGTCCACAGGCGGAGTGGGAAGCCTGAGGAGAAGGAGGGGACGGAAAGAGAACAAGGGAGGAGGATAATGGATGGGAAGATATGAATGAGATATTACACCTGATTTTGTAGGGGAGCCAGGCTCCCTCTGCCCCAAGCACGGAGCATTTCTTCACAGGGACCAGAAGCGCAGGCAGGGTCCGAAGCAAATACAACTTCATCGCCGAGGTGGTGGAGAAGGTGGCGCCATCTGTGGTTCACCTGCAGCTGTTTCGCAGGTAAAAGACACAGGAGGATTACCCAATACTGCTTCCCACTGCCTTACCTACTCTAGGGCCTTTACAAGCATCATTGAATCTTCAACCAACCAAACAAACAAACAAACAAACAAACAAAAACCACTGTGAGGAAACCGAGGTTCAGGGGATGGAACTCAGTGGCAGAGTGCTTGCTTGCTTAGCCCTGGGTTCCATCTGCAGCACCTCAAAAACAAACAAACAAACAACAACAACAAAAATAAAACAATAACAACAACAAAAATCTGTTCAAAGCTATTGAGATGAGAAGCAGAGGCACAAGGACAAAAGGATTCTGGCCTCCAAATCTGAGCTATTTCTGCATACTCAGGTGCCTGAGGTTTCTTTTTCCCTCATGCCCCAAAGATAAAATTTGAAGCTAGTAGGAATCTTGGTGATGATCTTGCCCAACCCCATCACTTGCATGCAAGGAAATCTAAATCCAGGAAATCCAAATCCAGCGGGCAGATTTTTTTTTTTTTTTTTTTTGTACCAGGGATTGAACCCAGGAGCATTTAAGCACCAAGCCATATACCCAGACTTAAAATATTTCATTGAAAGACAGAGTCCCGACAGCCATGGTGCAAAGCCAGTTTCAGCCATTTAGCGTGGCCCTAAGCAAGTCAGTAAGACCCTGTCTTTAAATAAAATTCAGAAAAGAGCTGTGGATATGGCTCGGTGGTTAAGTGCCACTGGGTTCAATCCCCAGTATGGGCGGGGGAGACAGGGTCCTGCTAAGTTGCTGAGGCTGGTTTTGAACTTGTGATCCTCCTGCCTCAGCCTCTGAAGCTGCTGGGATTATAGGCATGTGCCACTATGCCTGGCCTGAGGAAAAGATTTATCTTATGCCACAAGGCTAATTTGTAGTGAAAACTAAGCCAGAACCAGAACCATTGGATTCCCTACCTGCCTGAGTTCTTGAATCTGTGGCAATATATCCCCACAATATTAGGATTAGGTTTGGCTTCTTTGCTGGAGAGGACTCACAGAGTGCTGCACTGACCAGCTCTGAAGAAGGGAGCATTGCCTCGGAAAAAAGGGGAGTTGGGAACCAGCTTTCAATCATGTTCACCAGAGATGGCCAGGGCAGGATACATATAGTTCATTTACATGTGGAGAAGATGAAAACTGACAGGGAAAAGTAAAATGTCTGAGGAAATGGAGATGGAGATAGGCTTAATGAATGTCAGGTTCCCATGATTCACAGATGGCAGCTGGAGTCCCTGAGCTTCCTGCCCTCGGCTTATATTGTTGTCTTATGGAGACAGGTCACCTCTCAGCGGCAAGGAAATGCCTGCATCCAGTGGCTCTGGGTTCATAGTGTCTGAGGATGGGCTCATTGTTACCAATGCTCATGTCCTCACTAACCAGCATCGGATCCAGGTGGAGCTTCAAAGTGGGGTCCAGTATGAAGCCACTGTCAAAGACATTGACCATAAGTTGGATCTTGCACTGATTAAGATTGAGCCAAATGTAAGTATTTAGAAGCCAAGTCAGAGTCTGCGTATTTTCTTCTATTTGCTGATATATTGTTTCCCTTGCTCCCACACTACATTCTTTTTTATCTAGTATATGCTTTTTTTCCTGTTTTTCACTCCCTCTTTTTAAAAATTTTCTTTCATACCTGTATGTACATCTCTTTGTTTAAAAAATTTTTTATTGTTGGT